AATACAAGACACAAAACCACAAAGGTATGGTCTTGTTTAACCAATACCTAACTTGTGTACACAGGCATGTAATAAAGTTAATACTAAAAATGCACTAGTCAGTCGTCTCAGCAGAAAGTAAGTGACAAACAGCATCTGCACATTTAAACATGGACTCTTCCCCAGAAATGCTACTGGAAACTTGGTCTTCCATGGCCTCTACTGGTCTAGACATATTTACTTGATCAAGAGGAAGGCACACTGGTATGGCAGTGTGAGCAAGTTCATTCCACCTGTTCCTCTCTGGTCCAACTCTGCATAGTACTTAAGCAAGCACACCTAACGTTAAGCAGATGAGTCAGTCACATGCCTAAAAATAGGATTTAAAGTACTTACAGGCTTTGCTGAAGCACAGCTTTTATAGATAACTTTACATGCCAACCTGCTGAATCAGTTTTTTCACAACTGCTAAGCAAATGCTGATATAGAGTGACACTGATAAAGTCACAACCTAAAGCTTCAATATTCAGTTTCACAGACCACATCCCTAAACAGTAACATTTTTTGAGACAATAGATTAAACAGTCTCTGGATAAAAAATAAACATAAAATGAGCAATGAATATTTCAAATTATTTATTATATCCAGGTCAAATATTGGGATTTTTACTGTACAAGCTGACATTTGCTCTCTTTAAAGATAAGATCTATTGCACTATAGGACCAAGATCAGAAAAATATCCTACCACTGTGTGAAGGCATTTGGACTTCATGTTTCCTGGGTCCTGATGCATAAGAAAAAAACTTTTTAGCAAAGCTCCATGAGCTGTTGTATAAATTCGACTATAGGGCTACACATTCTCATTCTCTACTAACATTTCACACTTGGCAGTCTGAGAAAAAGAACTGTGATGGTGGATAGCTGTAATAACACTAAGAGATTTATTTTACCACTAGCAGACAAGAAACCCTAGTCTTAATGTTGGATTTCAATTTTTACTGTCATCTCCAGTTTCAACGACTTTTCCCTTCGGGGGAGAAAATTACATGAACAGAACACAAAACCCTCACATGTCTGATAAAATATTAAAACTAGATCTTCTCTACTTGGTTTTTTTTTCCCCCTTCCCCTTTTTTGAAGATGATAATGTCTAGAGCTTGGATTTTTAAAAAAACAAAACAAAAACAAAACACACACCACAGAATATTTAAGGTCTATTAAAAAACCAAAGCATAACAGTCAAAAATAAATCATTCAGCCATTCCCACACTAGAACATGCCATAGTACTAACAGCAGCGGTACAAAGGAGAAAGGATGACAGAAAAAATAAGGTACTCTGACATGTCAGAAAGTGACAGCCAGTGTGTAGAAAAAGAAGAGTCAGAACCATGTAACCTGCTCCTGCCACTGTAACCCAAACTTTGTGGAAAAGGCCTAGGCAGCCTACAGGGTACACTGAGAAAGGGAAGATACAGAAGTAGCCAAAGCAATATTTACTACAAGAGAATATGAAACAAAGGAAAAAGGAGGAGACACTCTTAAGTCCTGTCCTTAGACAGGATTTGAAGTATTACCTTTGACATCTATAATTGAGTCTTGGAGATGCCCGTTTACCCTTCCCTTTGACAAAGCTGAAGGAAGCTTGTCTTTTTTTTTTAAAAAAACATCTGTATGATACAGTTGTGCTCTCATCTTTAGCCTTCCCTCCCATATGCGTGCTGGTTAGAATGGTCAGGATATGGCTATGAGAGTACCTATGTATATTGGTGCATAAATAGCCACGATGATAGTGTCCTACCATGAAGAAAGCAGCAGCACCAGACAGCAGAGCTGAGAAACAGTCTGACTACTTTCTTATGGTACTCAGTTGCCAAACATTTGGGATTATTCATCCAGACCTAACAAATATCAAAATGCTAAGTAAATTAAATACATAAATGACTCCTTCTAATCACTACTGTACATACTCTGTGGGAAAAGCAGAGGTAAAGCGTTTCTTTTAGCATGTTTTAAAGCGCAGACCATTACTCTACCTTCTAGTAAGCTTGTTCACGTTAGTGCGTTAGACATCTTTCACAAAACAGTGAAGCACTGGTCCCCCTGCTGTATGGGCAGAGGAATGCCTAGTTTCCAAATCTTAGTTCGCTGCTTAAGTTGGCAGCTAAGGGGTCAAGATCTTCCAAGACAGTAGCAATTCTAAGTATGTACATACGCAGCTACAGTCACATGGGGAGCTTTACATGTGAAATAAAAATCTATATGGCACTTTGGTCTTCAGTGTTAAACTGCAGAGATTTTCCAGATGGTAACTCTGGATTTGGGCACATAGGTTCTACATAAATCCCTTTTAAGCAGTAACGTCCTCTTCTAGATCTGGACCTGAAACTTAGGTTCAGCCCTCAAAGTAGTCAGTAAAGAAACACCTATAACAGACAGGTTTCACATTCACTTTTAAAGCAGGATAATGAGGAACATCTGAAAAAAATAGTTACTTTTCAGACACAGACATTTCCTTCATTCAAGTATTACACTCCTTTTAAAAGTTATTAACTTACACCAGCAGGAACAACAGCTACACTTCAATAATCATAGAATCGTTTAGGTTGGAAAAGACCTTTAAAATCATCCAGTCCAACCATTAACCTAACATTACCAAGCCCACCACTAAACCAATTAAGCATAGAGCAGCAACCCCACGCCTCCTGGCTTCGTGGCTGGATCATTTATAATGAAAGTAAAAACTAGGAATCATTAAACTGATGGAGGCATAACAAGCAAAACTCAAGTTTATAGTTTGTGAAAATAACCTTAACACAAATAGCTGTGATTTCAATTTTTAAATAAATTAAGTACTTTTTTTTTTTTTTTTTTAAATGCAGAAGCAACCCTCTGAAGTATTCCTATTCCACAGACTGCTTTCTCAGGGCGGGGGGGTGGGGTGGGGAGGAGAATTTAAAAAGTCAAGCTGACTTACTATACACTAAGTGGAAAGAAATGCAAACATCAATTTTCAGAAGTTATAATCTCAGTATTCACAAATCTCCAAATCATTGAGTGCCTGATCATTGATTCTTTACAGTACAAGCTGGTAAGCCATTTAAGCCCATTCCATTTCTAATTATCTGATATTAGAGACTTCAGAAATATAACTCAGTAAGTAGAACTTATCACTTTTCACCTAGGCATACATAGAATGCTTATATTCTTTAAGTGATAAATGCTATTTAAAAAATTGAATTCGTTTCAGATTGCTTCTGCAGAGGTCAATTGAGATCAGAACTAGAAGTACTAATTACACATTCTATGTTGAGGTTCAGCTCCCATTCTCGACCAAAAAGACTAATGA